TTTTGTAGTAAGTGCATTATTTATATATATATATATATATATATATATATATATATATGTATTTATCACTTAAATGTTATATTTACTAAGTCGATGCTTTGGTTTATTTATTGGACAGTATATGTTCAGGCTTATAAAGGTAAATGAATAGATAAATATAGATACATATATATATATATATATATATATATATATATATATATATATATATTAAGTAAAATAATAAATGAATAATAAATATATATAGCTATATATATTTATATTTTAATAATAAATGAAAATAAATATATATAACAGTTTAATAAATAAATGGGGCATCTCCTTAATATCAGTTAAAAATAACATTTAAGATAGATATATATATTTTAATAATAAATGAATAATGATCATATATATATATATATATATATATATATATATATATATATATATATTTATATTTAAGAAAAATTTCAAAGATAAACCTTACATTTGAATGTTAAGTAAGTTTTTTTTGAATTTTTATAATTATATTGCTCAGTATGATTTGTTATTATTCTCATACAAATTGAGCTCTCTACTAGAGTTTTATCTGATATTTATGTTTTAGGAACTTTCTTAAAATAACATTTAAGGATTTTATATATATATATATATATATATATATATATATATATATATATATATATATTAAGAATAAAGAATAATAAATATACATATAGTTTTTAATGTTATATATATATGTATACATTAAGAATAAAGAATAATACATATACATATAGCTTTTAATATTATATATATATATATTATGAATAAAGAATAATAATAATTATAGTTATTAATGTTGTATATATATATATATATATATATATATATATATATATATATATATATATGAATAATGCAGTAAATGAAGGCTGCGTTGTACATGAAACAAAGAGTTGTGCTATTTGAGAGGGAAAAGTGTCATTCCGCACTATCTGTTAATGCTATCATTCAGTGTGGATCATATATATATATATATATATATATATATATATATATATATATATATATATATATATTTGTGTGTGTGTGTGTGTGTGTGTTTTTTAATACTAAACTACAATAAAAGAAAATATATTTCAATAATAGATGAAAATAAATAAATATACAGTTTAATAAATAAATGGAGCATCCACTTATTATCCACTAAAAATAGCATGCAAGTGGTAAATATTAATTCATATATATCTATATTTCTCTATATCTATCTGTCTATATATATGTATATCTCCATATATATATATATTTATATATATATATATTAATAATACAGCATATGAGACTAAGTTGGTTGTCTTATACTATGAATATCAGATAAAATCATGCAAATTTACCTAGATTTTGGGTCTCTTCTCATCTATGGATCATGTTATATGTGGAAATATAAGTATAGTACATACATATATATATATTTATATATATATATATATATATAGAATTAATACAAACAAGTTTTATTAAATAGCACTGACAAGGTCTGTCTATTCAGCTTATTATATTGTCTTGAGTTGTTTTACATTTTCATATTAAAATTGTTAAATAAACTGTCCATCTGCTCAGTATAGTAGGGTCAGTCGGGCATTGTCAAACAGCAAATCAATAGTTTTGTTTGATTTTTTTTGTTTAGCAGCATATCAACACCTCTATGGGTTATTTAATGCTGAAATATAAATATTTCGTATGCAATTTTATTTAAATTTTTTTTAATTGTTTCACCCCAGGCAAAGGCAATAATTCTGCTAGAATGTATGGGTTACAGGAAGTGGAAGAGAATGAGAAGACTATGGTAAGGATGACTGAAGAAACGACAAAAAAAGAACATGGTTCAAGGAGATGAACGATGATGATTGACGTTGCATTTAAATTTTTGAAGATTGTAGTTATCAGGGAAGCAAGAGATGTGAAGGGATTTCCACAAGTGGAGAGTCTGAGAAAAAGAAACTGCTAGAGTGTTAGTGGTGGTTGCATCTAGCTTGTTTAACAGTAAAATGGTGGGTCCTAGTTGCCAATCTAGTAGCATGTCAATCTAGTAGCATGGTGGGACCTAGTTGCCAATCTAGTAGAAAATTCATGTAGTTGGACTACCAGGGGAAAAAGCTCATCAGAGCAGTTGCCATGAAAATATGCTATTGTATTATGCTTTCAACTACAGATACTTAGTACAAACTTTTTTACTTTTAGGATTTTATAGCTATATAGTTTGTAGATGGTCTTTTGTAGGTGTTATATATTTTGGTATAAACATATTTCTTAAGGTAGGACATTATGTTGACAGTTTCATTATTTTCAAATAGTTTTTTCCTTGTAGTATTTACATCTTACAGGTGCTAAGTACATTCAGTTAAAATGTATTTCACCTTGACTAATCAAAAGGAACTATGCAAACTACAGTATTCAGCTTGAGTACCCATGTGAAGGCAGAATTACAGAGACTTGCTGTCACTTGACCTCCAATAATAGCCATCAGTTATGTCTGATGTAAAGATTTAATTAGTACAATTTTAACGATTGATAGTAAAAAAAGGGATTTTTAGTTTTTGTATTGTGATTTACACTTGAGAAATAGCTTTTTATGCATTTATATTCCAGACTGAAAGTGTTTCTAAATTTTACCTGTTATAAGGGACCTCAAATTTAAATTTATTTTCTGTGTTATTTACACAAGTTTTCATTAGAAAGAAAGTGATGTAATGGAATAACCTGTAACCTCCCCATGAGTGACGACACTATAGGTAGTAACTACCTATAAGTATCTGTAAGTCAACAGACTGCGGAGACTAGCTGGGATCTGTTCCAGCTGTGCTGGTTAAACTCTCTGCCTCTGAGTAGAGACAATCCCTAGACGAGGCTATGTTGAAGGGCAGAGTCTCGTCTAGGGAAACAGCTACCCGATCCTGTTTTATATGGGGTCAATGGGGAATTTTTGGCTGAGCCCATGGGCTTGGATACCCCACATTAAACTCAGCCCTGTGCCACATCTGATCACATGGGGAGATATATACTAGCTTGGATCTGTTGAGTCTGACTCAGACTTACGTGAGAACTACCAACCTTCCAATAGTAGCACTCACTAATGGATTGACTTGCGACGACCTTGTGCATAACTGTTACCTTTATTCTTATTGCACTGGTTTTTTACAATAAACCTTTACTTATTTCATCCTCCATGTTTGTCAAGTATATATTCCTATTAGCACGGAATATAACAGAAAGCAAAAGTTCTGAAATGCGATGCAGTATCAATCCTCCCCTTTAGTAGTGAATGCTGAACAATCTACCCAAAGATGAACAGGAGACTTGCGGTAACATATGTGGTTCTACAGAAGGATACTGAGAATTACATGGACAGAACATGTGAGCAATGAAGAAATTTTAAGGAGAATAGAAACAGAAAGTACACATGATCAGAAAAAGACAGTTGAGATTTCTAGGACACATAATGAGGAAAGAGGACTTGGAGAATTTGACACTCACAGGACATAATGAACGCAAGCGGGACAGAGGAAAACAGCAAGTCATATACCTAATGAATCTGTTGGAGGAATAGTAAACAGACATTGATAAGTACTACAAAGGATAGTCCTGGGTATGATGATAGATTATATCTGGCAGCAAGGCTTCTGATCAAGAGATTGGAGGTTTTCAGATGTGTAGAACCACCTCTTAATTGCTGTTTTTCCCAGCCTCACCTAACAGGTGCTTCTGCCTGTTAGGGTCTCAGCTATGGGCAAACAGTGAACCTCTAACAAAAACAAAACACTATGAAAGTATAAAAATACATTTCTATAGTAAAAATACCAGCAATACATTTTATAGTAAAAATACCAGCAATATATTTTTATATAAAAAATTACCAACAATGATGATTGCCACTTCTTTGAAGTAGGAGAACATCTCTTCATTTGGTAGCATTTTATGTTTTGCATTCAAAATTTTAATATTTCCATCATTTATACTGGAGCTAATGCTCTGCTATAGGTTTGTAAGTGATTCTTAAGACCAGCATCACTTTTACAATTTCTCTTACTAATGCAAAGTACATTGTATATTTGACAACAGGTCTCTGCACTATACCACACAAGTTTGTGTTGCTTATGTTCAAAACTTACCTGACCCTGTGTACGATTATGTGATGTTTGAATCCTGCAACAGACTTATAAACCTTGTCACAAAACTTGTACAAGTAATCTACAGTTCTTTCTGGTAGGGTTATACTCAAAGGAGTTTGCATCTGACTTCTCTAGTGTGATCTCATGTGACTGGCTAAAGCAGCTGTCCAAAGAATGGCTTTTCCATAAATACTGCAAGTGTGTTGATGTCCTAATAGCTATGGAATGGATTCCATTTCTCCCTTCCTAATGGTGGGCTTTTTGTTGGTATGCTTAATTCACTTCTGCTCAGAATTGTTGCAATGTTTCCAAATCAATCTTAGACAACCAGATTTATTTCCAGCAACAGTTTCCCAGTTTTCAAGATTAATGCTGAGGGTCTTACTCAACAACGCATACATACAAACCAATTCTAACGACTTTACTGAAAACTATTTAAAATACTACCAAACACCCAACATGAAAGAAATCTTTTATGACATTAATCCATATAATATCTTACAATTTCTTAAAGACATCAAACTGTATTCCAAAATATAACTTCAACAAAACTAAAACATAAAACACACATATTACCACCTCTAGTAATTATGTTCACAGAAACATGTTTATGCACAAAAGCTGAGCATCATCTACCATGTATTCAATTGTGAAGGCAGAATAACATATTACATTTTTATTACTTCAAAGCTCCCAAGAAAATTAAATTTCAGCATTAAATGACCCATAAGATGATATGTTGTTAAACAGACAAATCAATCAACTACAAAAGAAAAGAAGCTGTGGAGAGCCTTGTACGCCCATGTACTGGAGGCAAATGGTATATAAAAGAAGATAAACCCTTCTATGCCTTGGGTAAGTTTGATACTAGAAAGTTCTTAGAGAGAGAGAGAGAGAGAGAGAGAGAGAGAGAGAAAGAGAAAACAGAGTGAGCCAGATGAGTACAGTGAGAGAAAGAGAGAAATATACTGAGAGAAAAAAATAAGAGAGAGAAAGAAAGACAGTGAGTAAGAGATAAAGAAAGAGAGTGACTAAGTGAGAGAGAAAGAGAATGAACTGAAAAGAAAGCAAGAAATACAGTGAGAGAAATAGAGAGTGAGAAAGAGAGAGAGAGAGAGAGAAAGAAATAGAAAGTGAAAGAAAGAAATAAAGAGAAAGAGAATAAAAGGGAGAAAGACAAATTGAGAGAGAAAGACACTGAATGAGAGAGAGAGAGGGAGAGAGAGAGAGAGAGAAAGACAATGAATGTGAGAGAGAGAAAGTGGGAGAAAGAGAAAGACAGTCAGTGAGGAAGAAAAGAAGTCAGTGTGTGAGAGAGAAAGACAGAGAGAGAGAGAGAGATTGAGAAAGACATTGAATGCAAGAAAGAGAAAGAGAATGAGTGAGGGAGAGAGAAAAATACATTTAGAAAGAGTGAGAAAGACACTGAATGCAAGAGAGAGAGAAAGAGACAGAGAGACAGAGACAGAGAGAGAGACAGAGAGAGAGGGAGAGAGACTGAATTTTTTATTAATCCAACAGATTTTATCATTTTCAATGTTATTTTACTTGTACTTGACTGGATGCTCAGTTTATATATTTATATATATATATATATATATATATATATATATATATATTATTAGTCAGTGAGGAAGAAAAGAAGTCAGTGTGTGAGAGAGAAAGACAGAGAGAGAGAGATTGAGAAAGACATTGAATGCAAGAGAGAGAGAGAGTGAGGGAGAAAGAAAAATACATTGAGAGAGAGTGAGAAAGACACTGAATGCAAAAGAGAGAGAGAGAGTGAGAGAGAGAGAGAGAACATCAAGTAAGTGAGAAAAAGAAATCCAATGAGTTAGAAGAGAAAGAGACAATGAGAAAGCAACTCACTGGAAAAGGAAAAGACAGACAAAACACAAATAGAAACAGAGAGAGATGAACCCATTGACTGTAATGACAGGTTGTCGTAAAAATCTGAAAGTATGAAAAAATCTTTTGCTCAGAGAATAATTAAATTTCTGCAAAAGGTGTGAACAAAGAATATTAAATAATTAAAATGTTTCTTTCTCCTCCCAGCAAATAAAAGGTGGTATGAAAAGTTCCCTTTGCTCATTGTCAGTCGAATTTAAGCGCTGACAAAAATCCCATATAATAAAAACTAATGAAGCAATAATTATTTTCTTGTTGGGACTGCTATTTAGTCCATGTTCTCGTTTTTGCTTTATGACACCTGCTTTATACCTGAGCTAAAAAAAGCTGAAACAATAGAAGACTTTCTTCTTTTTTTTTTTTCTGTTCCGAGGTTTAAGTTTGGGTGACAAAAAGGCATACAGTCATAATTTAAAATAAATGGGATGGGTGGCATTATGAAACCTTTAGTCTTTCACACACACATGGTTGGGTGCTGAAAAGTTACCGGCCAGACCCACTTTCCCAGAAATCTGACCAAATAGCCAAACATGTTTTATTCTGAAAGGTTTCTTGTTCAGTCGGAGAAATTTTTAAGCTATCACTTTTATATGGTGTCAGGTGGTGGTCGGGGTTTAATTTGTGTGGGATGGTCTGAAATTGATTTTAAATTTAAGTTGCCTTAAACCTGGTAAATTTTTTTTTAAAAATGCGGTTTGGAAAGTGTTAACAATATAGAAAAAAATATTTCTAGTATAAAATCCTATATAACTATGGAATGCACACACACACACACACACACACGCACACCATATGTACACAGTGTGCGATGGGTAAATTGTCGCCATTTCATATTTTTTATTTCACGTATATGCGTTGTTTGTTTTTGATTTTGTCAACTGCACAGAATAGTAGAGTCAGTTGGGCACCATCTGTGAGAAAAAGAGCACCATTACACAATTTACTCTAACCAGAAATTCGGAAATGGTATGCCGTTCATGCTGGAAGCTCCAATACAAATATTTCAGAGCATTTGGGTGTCAATCTGAAGACAGTGCAGAGGATTTGAAAAGAGTTGGATGAGTCTAATGGTGATTACGAAGGTAGGCCAACTTGGATAACTCACTCTGATCATTCTGATATGAAAAGAACTGAATTTGTTGTTGAAGGCCTCAGACTCAACACAGAGGCCCACATCAGGTGGCTTGAGGAGGTAGAGCTGCCATGGGTCAAGAGGGTGGCTGCTGGAAGACCCTATATTTGACAACAGGTCTCTGCACTATACCACACAAGCGGGAGGACCTAGTCATGGCTGTCAGACAATTTCTGTGACCACATCACCTTTTATATATGCCTACCTAACCCCCCAGACTGCAACCCTCTTTATTATGTGTGGGGCGCAGTTGAGCGAGAGACCAACAAAACTTCTTTTAACAAATGAACTGAAGACAAGGATTATAGCAACATTCACCAACTTAAACAAGACTGGCCAGAAGAGTTACAGGAAATTTCAAAGTCGTCTTGATTGAAGCCAATGGTGATTTAATTGAGCAAATTTACTCTTTAGCATAACAAGATATTTTGTGTAATTTTGGTAAACATATCTGTTAAAATGAGATGTCAATGTTATTTTAATTTTTGTGTTATTTAGGCGACAATATATACATCGCACCTGTATATATAAGCATATAATTAACAAATATATATATATATATATATATATATATATATATATATACACATTAAATAAATATATATATATATATATGTATGTATATAGATATAGCCACATCATATGTACATATACATATATAAGCAAAGACATATATATATATATATATATTCTTTTATGTAATATATATATATATATATTTGATTCATTTTATCATATAAATGTATTCTTTTTATCATATATGTTTATATTAGAATGCACATCTTATATATATATATATATATATATGAAGAAAAATATACGGAAAAAACAAACAAAAATCCTAATATGCAATTATGCTGTTTTAATGTTAATATAATGTCAACGTCGGACGTTTCATTCTAGTAGACCATCTTCAGGACATATTCATAAAACATAATTAACATTAGACTATATTTAATTCAACATGAAAAGACGATGGACATAAGAGTAAGACTAATCAAAACGGACAACTGAAATTTTTCAAGACATTATATTAACATTAAAACAGCATAATTGCATATTAGGATTTTTGTTTGTTTTTTCCATATATTTTTCTTCATACTGTCGGATCTATATCCATATATTTTTTACATATATATATATATATATATATATATATATATATATATATATATATAAAAATTTCAGATAGAGTATATCTGAAAAGGACAATATGAAAAAAAGACAACTTATCATACACAATGTGTTTTGTCCTGTAAAAGACCTTCTGAGTCTAATCCCTCAGAGGATGAAACATGTCATCTAAGATAAGTTATCCTTTTGTCCTTTTTTCATTTGAAATCAGTAGTTTATCAAACGCGCCCAAGAAATATTGAGGAACTTAAGGAAAGAATTAAATATGAATACAGTAAAATAACAGTAAGTAAGTTCCTCAATATTTCTTGGGCACGTTATACAACTGATTTCAAATGGCCCCACAGAAATGAATCTAAGGGTGTGAGGACTGGTGATCTTGGTGATCACTCAGCAGGACCTAATGAACATAGTGCAAGAAACTTAGAATAGCAACTTGATTAGTAGGCCAAGTATAAATATCAGTACCATAAGGAAGTTATTAATTATACAATAAAATGTTCCAAACAAACATGGTCTACATGGGAGATGGTGATGAAATCCACCTAGTTCACAAGGTTCAATATATGGAGTTAGGATTGGAGAGTTCCAAGAGACAATAGGTACAGGCATGAAATGTGACGTGTATAGGAGGGAAAATGTATATCCCTTCAAAACATTCCAATATACAGAGTGAGGCAAAAGTTGCGCTCCTTAGGAATAATTTATTAAAAGTATAATTACAGATGATCATTTTATTTAGTCGTTATTTAATTGTTATATATACTGTTCAAAATATCCTCCTTTTTTTTTCAAAAGATATTTCAATTCTGTGCCTGCATGACACATTAACACGCCGGAGACTTTCCTCTGTGATTTTACTGCATTAATTTAATTCTTTAAGTTACTCAATATTTCTTGGACGCGTTTGATAAACAAATGATTTCAAATGGCCACACAAGATAAGAAAATATCAAAACAAATTAGACATTTAAAACATGATTAATTAAAACATGATTAATTAATTATCACTTATAGTGCGTGACTTTTGCCTCACCCTGTATCGTCTCACTTTAAATATAAAAAGATTGGCGAGGTGTGAGAACCAGATATGCAGTGTTTTATTTTTCTTTTGTTAAAGCGATCTGTATGCACCTAAATATGATCTTCACTTTCTTTTGTCGGTTATGTTTTGCTTCACAGAATTTGCTTTTTTTTTCATGAATAGAAAATCATAGAAATCACATGAGTTTTTTTTATATATCTTTATTGTTATTTAAGTCCAATAGAAAAATACCTATTTTGATATTAATTTTTATCAGTAGCAGTTGGTCTACTTTACAAAGGGCTTCCAGTTTATATTTAAACCTGATAGCTTTATTTTTAATAACATATCCCTTCAGAAAGTAGGCGATCATGAATAGCCACAGATTACATTTCACTTTGAGCAAGGCGATAAAGCCACTAAGATTCAAAGTGTTACTGAGAGTGAAGCACACTGAAAACATGTTACTGAGAAGAAAGGTGAATAAAAGAACAATATTCAAGGAGGCAGAAGACAACAGTTGACGTTTCATTTAAGTTTTTGAAGTTCATAACTTGCAAGGAGACAGAAGCGAGTTTCACAAGTAAGATGTGTGGGAGAATAAACTCTTAGAATAGAACTTATGCCTATAGCAATTTCAACAGAAAAATGACGAGACTTAGCTGTCATTCTAGAATTACGATTAAATTCATGAAGTTCAGTTACCAAAAAGGAAAGCCCATCAGAACAATTCACATGAAAATATTTATAGAAAAGTCACAGGGAGATTACGTCATAGTGATGATTGCATGAAAGCATATGAAACAGACAGTCGTGGTCAGTCATTGCCCACTTGAAATCAGCATGGCACTTCAAACTTTGTATGGAGAAAGATCGAGAACCGCCCATACGCTTTGTGTCACAACCTGGCTCAGTAGTGTGGGGTCAAGGTTAATCTCGAGCATAATATGGCGAAAGTGCAATTTCATCCTCGATCTTACAGGCATGAATTTGTGGACAAGACGTTAACATTCAACAAAGTCTGACTCGCAAGTGAACGATTTAAGGTTTTAATCAAGAACATACCAGAAATCGGCACTAAAACAAACGCCACTGTTAAGTTGGGGTCGTTTTATATTAACAATAAAAATCAGGCACGGACTTTTGTGGTGATCTGATAGAAAGGTTGACATTACGTAGCAGTTCAGAACTCTTTGTTTCTAATGAAATTTTTCATGATTTAATACTTTATTTAGTTTTTAAAAGAAGTCTTTTGTTATTCCTTCTGATTTCAGTGTTACATTTTACGACATCTGTTAAAACACTTCTCAGTTATTTAAATTTCTGTATTTGCTTGATTATGGTATATCCAATTTGTAGTTCGTATTTTGGGCTTTTTTTTATTGCCGGCAACCATACATTCTGTCTTCTTACAATTGGTAGTTTATCTTTTCAGTTTAACTATACCTTTGTGTCGCATCTTATCAAGTGAAATAAATGAATATATATAAATGAATAAAAACGAAGGGAGGTTATTTTTTTCTTCAAATTAATGCTTATTTAGACAATTAAAGATTTTCTTTTATTACACACGGGACAGACGTTAGCAACAGATGCATAATCTGGA